CATTAAAACTGGGGGGGGGGGTGCTGGGAAGGGAAAGATAGAGGGAGGCAAGGCATGTTTAGAAGGTAGCTGTTGGGAATGGAATGGGAGAAAGGGGGAAATGGGGGTAGGTTATAAGAGAAGGGGAGTAGATTGACAGAGAAGGAATGGGGGGCAAAAGATATGGGGTAGATTGACAGATAAGGGAAAGGGGAGAGAGGGAAGTTTGATAGAGGAAGAGGAAGAAGGAAGAAAGCAATTCCCTTTATCTCAACTTCCTTCCCTCTTTCTCTCAACTACCCCACACACTTGGCACTCCACTGCTTTCCCCACCCTTGCTGTCTCTCCACCCACCCCCCATTCACTCCTCCCCACCCTTCCTGTCTCAAGGCCGGCTGGACTCAACTAGGACAGAAGCGGGGTTCTCACCTCAGCTGGGCCTCAGGTAGCGCAGGTCCTCAGCCTGGCCATTCAGCGGCACTTCCCACCGTGGGAGCACCAGTGGTGATGGTGGCACCTCCTCAACACCTGCCTCAGCTGTCGTCGACTGAGTGGGGAGAAGGAGATTTCAGGCATTGCAAGCAAGCCCTGGGTGCAGCCAGAGGCCAGCAGAGCCCTGTCTAGGAGCCTCCACTCCTGGCAGGGCCATAGCCAGCATGGGGGCAGCGCAGGCAGCGCCTCCTATAGATTTTGCTGTGCCCCCACTCCAGTCTCTCCCTTTAATCAGAAATGTTGGTAGCTCCCTCCTCATCCCAATCTCCCCCTTCAAACTAACTGTCAACCTGGCCCCTTCTTGGGTTTGGTTGCTCTGGAGACGTGGGGGGTGAGAACAAGAATGTATACTTTCGTTTCTGGCCACTATGTTGTTATCTGTCTTAACTCAGCCATGTAACCTTGAGACCTAACTGTCCCATGGTATCCTTTCCCCTCTGAGAATTATATGCCGTTATTTAAGCGGGCTTTTTGCTGATTGGCTCAGGGCTACTAGTGTCCTGTTTGATTTAGGTATAATAGCTTGCTGCTGTCAGGTATTCCAATAACTCAATAACAACACACAGGACCTCAGTAGGTTCAGTAAAGGACACTCCATGAACTTCTTTGTTAGGAATAACATAAGATGAGCAGGCTAAGCTGTTATACCCAATTCGTATAAGACCCCCTGATGAGCAGGGTCCAATGAGCAAACACCTGTAAGCGCGGGGAAAAACTAACAGACCCAGTGAGGGTGGGAGACTAGCAAAGGAGGTAGGACAGAGAATCCAGGCCCTCAAGGCCACGGAGACATAAGATGAGCAGGCTAAGCTGTTATAAGCTGAAATAACAAGGCAACAGGCAGAAGACAGCTGCAGGGAAAAGTGGGGTCGCAAAGCGCAAGCGCATAGCCCACACATTCCAGCACAATAGACATCCCATGGCGGTGTCAACCGACACCTGCGCGCTTTGCCTCAGTTCTAACAAAGAGTCTGGATCCTATCAATGTCTCAATAAACTTCAGTTCTTCTGAATGACTGTTTCTGGGAACTGATTTCTCCAGCACTAACTAAGCATGTATAAAATAAGCAGCTTCCCCCCCCCTACAAAGTGTGTCTCGTGTCTCCTACTCGCTCGCCAGCCTGCATGAGGCTGAGGATGGTGGAAAAACAAAACAAACCTTCCCTTCTTTCTTAGGTGCCTGCCCGAGAAGCCACTGAGTGGGTGTCATAGGGCATCTCTCTCCCTTCCTTACTCCTGAGTAAACAGGGTGTGCACACACACAATTATTAGGACTAAAACTGGGGCCGGCTCACCTTTTTCTGTGTCGCAAAGGGGCTTGCTGGGGGGCAGGGGGTGGATTTCTCCCCCTCCCCGATTTTGAAAGCAAATAAATGCTTTCTCCTGTGCTCAGCCCCACTGTCTGCAGCTCTTCTCCCTTTTCCCAGTGCTGCAGAAATCCCCAGAGGTTGGTGCAGAGTGCGGGAGTCAGGGGCTTGCTGCAAGTCAGCACTTAACTGATTTCCAGAACAAACTTTGAGTCCAGTGGCACCTTTAAGACCATCAAAGTTTAATTCTAGGTATAAACGTTTGTGGGCATGCACACTGAACTGACCTCCAGCTTCTTTATAATGGGTAAGGAATGTAGTGGTGGACACAGTGTCCTGTTCCTACTGGCTCGTTTTGAACCTGTTTATCCAAGATGCAGCACTTACATCTGTAGATGTAAGAAGAATGCAGCACTTCTTGTCCCAGAGGAGTGCTGATAAGGACAAGGCACTCCAGAAACAACTACAGCAGAACAGGCACCAGACATAGAACTTCCTGTGGGGAGAGAATGAAAGATGCCAAGGAAACCAAGATATTTGGGGGTGGGTGGTGCCTGGGGAGGACAAAGTTTGGAAGGGGAGGGAGCTCAGCCAGGAACATAGATTCTGTTCTCCAAAGCTGCCATTTACACCCTTTGTAGTAGGGTGGCCAGCTCTGGGTAGGGAAATTCCTGGCGATTCATGGATGGGGCCTGGGGAGGAGCAGAGTTTGGGGAAGGGAAGGGAGCTCAGTAGAGCTGTGATGCCATGTAGTCCACCCTTCAATGCAGCCATTTTCTCCAGAGGAATTGATCGCTGTATAGATCAGTTGTAATTCTAGAAAATCACACACACACCCTTTGAGGGTGGTAATCCTACGTGCATCTCTTTCTCATGGAAGTGAGTCTGTAGAGTATATATTTGTACCACCAAGGTTGTGTTCTAAGGCCCTGCTTCAGGTGTCTTCACTTTCTGTGATCAGGAGCTGGAGATGCATTCAGGATTTTCCCCCTTCCCCTTCCCCTTCCCCCAACCCCTTTCAATTCCAAAGCTGCTTCCCCTTTAACACCAGCTGATTAGTTACCATGCTAATGCCCCACAGCCTCTTGGGACTCCCAAACTGGGAGTTGTACTTCTAATTCCCTTTGCTATGACTGCAGTAAGGCCAGTTGAGAACTACAGCTCCCACGGAGCAATGCAGGGTTGTCCTTTATGTATAGGATGCCACATACACCAGTCATTTTCCTAATTCATGTTTTTGTGTAGTAGGCTCTTGCCCACAAAAGCTCATTGCCAGGCTATTTTTCTGGACTCTGTACATTTCCAAAATGACTTCTGGTAGAAATTTCATTTAATTGTCACTTCCAGACCCTTTGGGGGAGATTCAGCAGAGCTTTCCTCTCCCTGCTCTTTTGGTCTATTGGGTCTCTGTATAAACCCTCATAACTCCCTCCAGATTTGGGGCTTTATCTATGATTGAACTTTTGAAAACAATGAGGCTGGCTTTGTAAGAAGGACACAGCCACTTGAGCTCTGCATTGTAGAGGAGAAAAGAACTAAAAATCCTCACTTCCTTTCATTTCTCTTTAATCCTTTTCTCAGTCCTACATTTTTACAGATGGGGATCTTCAGAATCCTTTGAGTACTTTTGAATGGTTAGATATGCATATGGTTTGTCAGTTATATTGCTGAGACAGCATTCACCAAAACTCCATTGCCAAACTGACATAAATTTTGCACGCATCTGTCTACCCGAAAGAGATACTGAAATGGATCTAAAGACACAGATTTTCTTTTATCATGATGATGATGATGATGATGATGATGATGATGATGGAACATGCAAGTAACTCCAGATCTGATTTGACCTTTCCTGCAAATTAAAGGTCTCTTCTTAACAATGAAATCTCTTCATTTTATGGACATTCAATTTTATTAACTGTTAAAGAGTTGATGGCATAACCAAATAAATAAAACTAGCCATGTAAGAAGATTAATGCGTACATGTTTAATTTATCAGACCCAGAGTTGGGTGTATGTGTGTGAAGTGGAATTAAATGCATTTTAGTTAAGATTCTTCCCTTTTCTCATAGACCCTTGAATGTCACTCTCGTCTTCCAATCCAAGAGCCAGCGATTTGTGCGTGTGGGCCTGGCTGTGCCTCTCTTCAGCAAGGTGACAAAGTTCAGAGAAATGGTGGCAGAGGAAGGCAAGATTTCACCTGACCAGGTAAACCAGATTAGTTTTTCCTCCTATTTGTATTGTAGCTATAGCGGAACTCAGTGTTCCCCAGCCAACATTTTTGGTGTGAAAAAAGCCCTTGAAAGGGACAGGACCTAATTCTCAAAAGCTCAGCTTTCTCATACTGACTCTCTGCTGTTTCCAGCCCTGATCAGCTGCAACTGGGCACTTTTTAAAATTTGAAAAATAGCCCTTCTTATTCCTAGTAGTAGGCACATTGTTGAGAGCCAGAACTGACTTGGCTGCATGATGACATCACTGGTAGCTGGCTAGAGAATGACTGTTTTTTCAGAAGGAGATTGTGGCTCTGAACAGGCTCAAAATGGAGCACAGCTGCCGCCACCTGAATATCGGGAGATGGGCCACCTAAGTGTGTCTCAAGTGGGTTACTTCTACTCTTCAGTGTTTCTTGCACCCACCAGAAAAAAAAGGACTGAACAAGAGCTCCCCAAAAAGGTCTTGCAGGGGCAGTGGAGGATATGTTCACAAGATGACCCCTCTTTTCATAGAATCACAGAGTTGGAAGGGGCCATACAGGCTGTCTAGTCCAACCCCCTGCTCAATACAGGATCAGCCTAGCCTAGAGCATCCCTGACAAGTGTTTGTCCAGCCGCTGTTTAAAGACTGCCGGTAAGGGGGAACTCACCACCTCCTTAGGCAGCTGATCCCACCATTGCACAACTCTTATTGTAAAAAGGTTTTTCCTAATATCCAGCTGGCACCTTCCTGCCCTTAATTTAAACCCATTTTTGCGAGTCCTATCTTCTGCTGCCAACAGAGGGAACATTCCCAAGTTCCTCAGCCTTTCCTCATAGGGCTTGGTCTCCAGTTCCCCGATCATCCTCGTCGCTCTCCTCTGCACCCGCTCCATTCTGTCCACTTTCTTCTTGAAGTGAGGCCTCCAGAACTGCACACAATACTCCAGGTGCGGCCTGACCAATGCAGTGTAGAGTGGGACTATCACCTCTTGCAATTTGGATGTTATGCCTCTGTTGATACACCCCAAGATCACATTAATATCACACTGGCCGCTAATATTTAATTTATGGTCCACTCATACCCCAAGATGTTGTTCACACACATGCTACCCAGAAGTGTATCCCCCATCCAGTGTGCATGTTCCACATTTTTGTTACCCAGATGTAGAACTCGGCACTTATCCTTGTTAAATTGCATCTTGTTGACATCCACCCACTTTTCCAGTGTCTTTAGATCTTGTTAAATTCTATCTCTATCTTTTGGTGTGTTTGCTGTTCCTCCCAATTTGGTGTCTTCTGCAAATTCAATGAGTAGCCCCTCCACACCCTCATCCAGATCATTTATAAAAATACTGAAAAGTACCAGGCCCAGAACCAAGCCGTGTGGCACCCCACTGGACACCTCCCTCTATTCAGATGAAATGCCATTGACAACTACTCTCTGAGTGCGGTTCTCCAACCAGTGCCCTATCCACCTAACTATCCTAGAGTCTAGTCCATAGTCCTGGAACTGATTACCCAACTTACATACTTCAGTAATTCTCTTTATGCTGCAGCTGGTTTAGCATTTGACTTTATAAGAGATCCTGGAGTATATGTCTTGCTGGAAGTGCCATAATTTTTGCCAAGTGACAGGGGCAAAATGTTTATTTGGAACTTCCTAGTCTTTGTTCCCAGTTCCTTCCTATTCTTGCCCACTCCCACCACTGTCCCTATCGGCACATTATGAGTTGATCTATTATCGGCTGTGCAAGCATAGACCAGGGGGGTTTCCCTTTTGCCAAATACCTCAGGCATACAGGACTGGTACCCCTGACTGTTTTCTGTTGCAGGTGATTCTGGCAGAGCTGAGCCAGTCTGGGTTCCAGTGTTCCTTCTCAGATGATGAGGATCTGACCACCATCTCCGAGGGTGACAACATCTATGCCTTTCAGGCTCCACTCTCCTTTAACCGGGCCAGCTCTTCCCACCTTTCAGGTATGTCCTGCTGTGGTGGTGGCAATTTCCTGGAATACTTCCAGTGTCCTGAAAATAAACTACTACTTCTTGTCATCACTTGTGGTAGACAACCTTTTGCCATATGGGAAGTCCAAAGTCTGTGCTGCTGCATTGTGCATTATGATACATCTGGATTGTCCTATTCCAAACCTCAATATGGTGTTATTGAGCCAAGGAGTGGGCAGCAGTGTTGCACTGGAAAGGCAGGCCACATGACTAGGCCCATGGATCTTTCTGCTCCTCTCCAGATTGGCAGCTCATGGAACTAGAAGTCTATAGGTGTGTGGCACTGAGAGGATGAAGTCCTTTTAACAAATTAAAATGGAGGAGAGGAATGAATAGGACAGTCAAAAAGTTGTTTCATACCTTTACTCTGCTGAGATCAACAGCATTTTCACCCATTCAGTCCTACCTGAGGGCTCAGCTAGATGGCTTAGCAGCAGGCCTCTGTATTTTAAACCAGGATCTACCACAATCATGTACGAAGTAGAGGTGGGAAGATGTTTTGATTTAAGGAGCAAAATGGGTGCATGGCTCAGAGGATCTGAACTTTCCTCAGTTTCTCTCCTTTCATTACCCTTTACCCAAACATGTTTCCTGCAGCTGAGAGTGAGAATCAGGGGGAAAATGCCAGGTAGGAGTGGCTGTCAGGAGGTGATCTTCAGGGCTCAGGTATGGGAGTCTGCACTCCTCACCCACCTGCCTTCATTGCCTCCGTACCTCATTCTTTGGGGGGAAGTCATCCAGAACTGGTCAGGTCCACGCCTCTGCTCACTCTGATAGTCTATGCAAATTTCTTTGTACTGCTCCTATTGGAGAGACATAGGCTGACCCTCCAGTTTTGGATAGCCCTGCTGCTCGATAGGAAGCTTGTGCTCTGCCCCAAGCAATTTAAAAAAAGCAGAAAGGAAAAAAGTGAGCAATTTAAATTTGCAGATCCAGGCCATTGGGGAGCCTTACTGAGCTGAAGGCCGCTTTTCCTGGGTCAGGACATCTGCAGCCAGCTAGCCCCAATGGACGCAGCAACCACCGAGGGGATTGCCACTGCCACGGCAACAAAGAAAGTAAGAAAGGTGGAGGCCACAAGGCGCAAGGAAAACAAGGCTGAGAAGACCTCAACCCTCCCCAAGCCCTCGGGAAGTGGGGTGGTGACCAAGTACAGCCAGCTGATCACCCCACAGCAAGAGGAGGTGAGCCCCAACCCTTCTGAGGCTTCAGGAGGTAGGGAGGGAATATTGACAGGAACCAGGCCAGTTGGCTTGGAAGTGACTGGTGCTGCTGTGTGGGTATAACGGTCTGAGGGTTTGGACCCCCACTCCCCCACGTGCCTGGTGAAGAAGGGAACCTTGAAGCCTGCCAAACAGACCAGGAAAAGACACTGTGGGAAACTTCATGGGCTGGCAAGACCACAAGGTGAGATCAACTTTGTGCCAGAAGGACCCCAGGAGGAGAGTTGGGCCTTTCTCTCGGGGCAGTCCCAGGGTGCTGGACTGAGACAGGAGTTCGCTTTCCTTGGAGGCAGGCAGGCCACCTTTCACAGGAGTGCAGATGGTAGCTCCCTCACTAGTAGATCCCGGCCCACCCACTTACTTGTGAGTAGACCCTGGCTTTTAACCTAGACCCCACGTGTCTCCACAGTTCCAGGCAGGACTGGCCTGGATATGGCCTATACTCCGGGGACCCTGGGTGTTTTCTCTGACACGGGGCTCTCCCTTCATTGGTCGGCGGGGGGCGGCTGGCCTCCATAGCCAACCACTACCCACTCAGTTGGATCTGTGGATGGGGTCCAAAAAGGGTCATTCACTGGACCGAAAGGCTAGAAGGGGGTAGAGCAAGTCCCCCACTTAGTCCCGTGTGTCATCAGGCTGAGCTTCTCTGTCTCCCCCCTTCACAAACATGCTAGGGCCTCAGAAGCACAGGGACAGCCAGAGACTATAGAGGCCTCAGGGGTGGAGGCAACGAGCCCCAACAGGAGCAGCCTAGAAAGCAGCAGACAGGAAGACAGCAGGGGGCAGAGGATAGAACCACTGTCACCTGTGTCAGAATTGGGGGAGTCGGTGTCCATAACTACTTCTGTAGAAGGGAATTCAGATAAAGAAGATGGGGAATGGTGGGGAGTGGTCAAGAGAAAAAACTGAGGCACAGACAACATCTTCCAGGCTCTTTCAGGCCGAGCATTTCCATAGGCTACTCAGCAAGGTGATAACCACACTAAATTACCAAGTGGAGGTAACCCAGAAGCCGAGATCAGCAGCCTTGGTAAAGCCGTACAGGTGCTGTACAGAAGGGGCTTCAAGGATCCTCCCACGGTACAGATGATTTCCCCCTTTCCAGACTCCTTCAGCGACATTAGGAAGGCAGAATGGGCACTCCCAGGGAGCAGCACTTCCCTGTTGTCGATAGCCAAGACGTTCTACGCACTGCCAGAGGGGACCATGGAGGATCTGAAGGTACCCCTAGTGAATGTTCTGGTTGTGGCTCTTCACTCAGGAGTGGTGCTGCCAAAAGACAGTGAAAATGCCTTGAAGGACTCCATGGACAGGAAGAATGAGACAGCTCTGAAGAAAGCTCATGAAGTGATGTCACTGGCCATATGAGCATCAGCGGTCCTGTCAAATTTTACTAGGGCCATAGTGATCTGGGCGGCTAACCTTCACAACCCAGAATCCAGTCCATTGGAGGTAAAGAGATTGCTGCTAAAGATGAAAAGGGTGGTAGAGTTTGCAACCCGATACCTTGCAAGACAACATTCAATTCTGCGCAAGAGCTCAGGTGGCGAACCTCATCATATGAAGAAACATTTGGCTCAGACATTGGAAGGTGGACACCTTATCAAAGAGCAACTTATCTTTGGAAACGTTTTCAGGCAGACTCCTCTTTGGGGAGTTGAACCTGGAGAAGATACTGGTTGAGATGAAGGAAAAGAAGAAGGCCATGTCGTCACCTTCCTATAGCAGGGACTGAGATGTTAAGACCAGGTCCCACCAGTCCTTTTGTGGCTTCAGAGCATCCGGCAGAGGAAGAGAGTCCAAGGACTACAAGGGATTTCAGTCCTTTGCATACAGGTACAGAGTGAACACTAGGTACCCGCCAAACTTCAGACAGGACAAGGCCGGTCTGGCCAAGAAGCAATCCATATGACTGCCTGATAGGGGAGAAGGTCCAGCTTTTTGCAAAAAAATGGAGCTCGCAAGTAGGCATTGTTGATCATTGAACACGGTTACAGAGTAGAACTTACATCACTCCCCCCTCAGAGCTTCACACCCTCATGAGTGCCAAGACGACAGGACAGACGACTCCAGCTAACACAAGCAATTTAGCACCTTCAGGATATAGGGGCGATAGAAGTAGTGCCGGTGGACCACCAATTCAGGGGGTGTACTCCGTCCTGCTTGTGGTCCCAAAGACGTCTGGGGACTGGAGAGTGCTACTGAACCTCAGAGGCCTTGACAGAATGGTAAAAAGATGAAAGTTCTGGATGGAGTCCCTAAGACATATTCTGCAGGTGCTGCAACAAGGGGACTTCATGTCCTCCATGGACCTCAGGGTGGCCTACCTACACATTCCAGTGCATCTGGAATACAGGTGCTGTCTTTGTTTTTACTACCAGGTGTGGCACTACCAATACAAGGCCCTGCCATTTGGCCTTTCTTCAGGCCCCCATGTTTTTACCAAGGTTATGGTGGCACTGGTGGCAACACTTTGGCAGGCAGGATTCACATCTACCCCTACCTAGATGACAGGACCATGCCACAGTGGAACATTCTACAGAAAAGGTGACAGACCTACTTCAGGTGCATAGATTCCTCATCAACATGGAGAAGAGTCAGCTGGACCCTTCAAGAGACGTTGTCCACCTGGGGGCCAGGATTTGCATGACAACACCCAAAGTATTCCCCCAGAGGAGAACCTGTATTAATAATGGAATTGTTTTATATGATTTTATGTAGTTTTAACTGTATTTTATGTACTGACTGTGAGCCGCCCTGAGCCTACATTGCGGGGAGGGTGGGGTTTAAATGTGATAAATAAATAAATAAACAGCTGCAATTAAGGGAGCTGGTGACCAATGTCAAGACCAAAAACACGATGAACCTCATGCATCTGGAGGTGGTGCAGGGACTCATGATATCCACCATAGACATGGTGGCCTGGGCACAACTCCACACAAGGGCTCTACATTGGGTCATCCTACCGTTCCATAAGGACATCTCCAGATGCAAGCACAGACAGATCCTGATAACAAACAGCCTGAAGAAGGAATTGGTGTAGAAAATCCTTCTGGTTCTGGCCGATAGGGGAGGACATCTGAGCTGCAGCGCTACTTGACTGGAACAGTATTTTAATTTTATTTTATAGCCATTCAATTGCTTTTAGCCTATCTTGCATGGAATTTTTAAAGTAAACTGTTTATCTTCAGTACAAGAAAGTTTTTGAGACAGCTGCTAGCTTTCTGACTCTAATCTGTTTGCCTCCCCTGTCATTTACTGTGAAACTGGGAGACTTAATTAGTTGGTCAGCTATGATAAAGAGAACACTAAGAAACTCTTAATTAAGGGGTTTCTTTATTTTTGTTCTATTTTCTTTTTCTCCTTCTCCCTTCATGTATTATAATGCCTGCAGAGAAGCGACCAAGAGACACAGAGGAGGCTGCCCCATTTCCAGCTCCCAAACAATCCAGGATTAGAGACTTTTTTAGCTCAAGTGAAAGTAGAAGTAGGAGTAAGAATTATACTCCTATCTATGCCGTGGAGACAGCAAATAGTTTTTTACCACTTGAGATTGGCAATGAGGAAGATGTGGGTACCCTGGTTGAAGATACTACTACTTTGGAGTCAAGGGTGGGGCATATTGATTCAGCCCCTGAGGCAGCTGGAACACCTACAGAGAATAGCCTGTTAATTTTAATTGCAAGGACTATGGAATGTCTCTTTATAAACATTCAAAACATACTCAAATGAAACCGCTAACTGCAGAGC